CGCAGTCGCAGTCGCAGTCGCAGTCGCAGTCGCAGTCGCAGCAGGTAGTAGTAGTAGTAGTAGTAGTAGTAGTAGTAGTAGCAGTAGTAGTAGTAGTAGTAGTAGTAGTAGTAGTAGTAGCAGTAGTAGTAGTGCAGTGGTGGTGGTGGTGGTGGTGGTGGTGGTAGTGGTGGTGGTGGTGGTGGTGGTGGTAGTAGTAGTGGTAGCAGTAGTCGTGGTGGTTGTGGTGGCGCTGGTGGTAGCAACAGTCGTAGTAGTAGAAGTTGTGGTGGTGGTGGTAGCAATGATATCGTATTGGTGGCAATAGCTAGGAGGGGTAGATTGTCGTAGCACCGGTGGTGATGGCTGGCAACAAGTAATACAAACTGATCTTAACAAGACGGGCAGTCCACAACCCCACACAGGGTAACAGAAACAGCAGCGCTAGCAGCAACAGTTGGTATAACGAGGAGCAAATGTTTGTGGAACTTAGATGTAGATTCGCGGGCAGGTCAAACTTCTTGATACAAAGCCTTGCACAGCGGAGGTGTGGCCACGGTTGGATTTGGAGACCTGGCCCCCTTGAGCAGTTCCGGGCCCCAGATGTCTTTGTTGGACGTTTCCCTGGCGGTGGCGGGGTGTGCCCAGAGAGTTTAACAGGGAATTCATGCATCTTTGGACTGGAAGGTCTTGGAAGGTTTGTACGGATGTAGAAGGCCTCGCAGAGATTTTTCGTTCGCGGCTTGCTGGCTATAGTGTATAAGGTATGCTTGCGCATTTTGAGTTTCGAAATCAGTTAAGGCTTTCGGATTATTGGACCCGTTTCCCCGGGCACTCGACCGGACTTGCACTCTGACTCCATCCATAAAGCCACACTCCCGGTTCTGATCCATGTCGTCGCATACTGGACTGGCCTCGGTTCCTTGGCATTGTTCTACTGCTACGGGGATGAGGTCGTCGACCCGCTGCTGTGCTGCTTCCCCCCTCAACAATCCTGTTCTAGCACTGCCAGGATGAGTAGTTGACCTTTCTCTTTGTTCAGGCCTTGGCCGCATCTGTACCGTCTTCGCCATCTACAGTGGCTTGGCGTGGACGGCGACTGCTGCCTATAGGTGCCTGCAGGCCCTTGCTGAGGGATATCTGATACTTTATGACCAGCTTCACGCAGTGGTCGCAGGGATGCCGAAGCCAACAGCTAGAGAAACAACGCGTCAAACCACGGCATTCGTTACGAAAAAACATGTCCAAACGCTCGGTCTTGTGAACTTAACTCCTCAGCCTGTGGCAGATCCTGGCAGTCAATCAAACCGGTGGTGGCTTCTTCGAGCCAGTGCTGCACAGCAAGCACCTGGATAGCACTGAGCACTTTTTCGTTTTTGGCCGAGAAGGGATCAGGGTCTCTGCAGTCTCTTACGGAAAGAGAGGCAGGTCCTCGTGAAAGACACAGTCAGCGTGCGTGGCTGGAAGCATCCCATGGCCTCTTCCAAGGTACATCGTCGTCATTGGCAATCCGACCGGCCAGATGTTGAGGTGCGGCTTGTCCAAGCGGCTTGAGAATTCTGTTGCGACTCTCCTTGGACCCTAAACCCTAAACCCTAAATCCTTGCAGGAACTTTCTCGCCGAGATCTTCCACCCTGATCATGCAGAGGACGCCGATGACCTTCACGTCTCGGCCGCTAGCCGGCAGTCTCACTCACTTCAATTCAACTTCCTTTTTGTTTTCGTCGGTGTTTTGGCCCTTTTTGCTTTTGGGCCTGCCATAATTCTCGAATCTTCTCTAGCCTTTGCTGATGTTCTGCGGTGAGTCAGTCGCTCACTCTGCGGTCGTACCTTGCTCCCGCTGAGTTACCCTGGAAGGTGGTCGGTTTATGCTGCAGCGCTGCCCCTTTCTGCTTTACTTCAGGCGACCTATATCTTTGTGCTAGCGTGCTGCTGCTGTCTCAGATCAAAACTCTACAGGAGTCTGTTGCCCCGCCCATCCCATCCCAGGTAATTCTTCCACCCGGGCACCCGGGCCAAGAGGTGGTTACAGAGTGGCTGCGGCAGTGCGGAGCCTGAGGGAGGAAGGTTGCGCTTCTGCCGCCATCGTTATGTTTGGGCATACCGCTTTCAGTTTCATTCTTGGTATCCATCAACGAGTGATGCATCTACAAACCCATGAGGGCTAGGATGTCGAATGGTACTTGGTGCAGTTAGGTAATCGAAGGAATCTGCCGTCACTTGCGGTTGAAAGTGTTGGCGACAGCTCGCTTTGCCCGAAATGCCGTTTGGAGCAATCCACTATTCTCTGATTGAAGTACCAGTGTATATGGAGCCAGCACCGACCCGCAGCGACCTGTTTACCAGAAGTACGCAATGCTTCAGCCGACTGCTAGGACACATGACAAATGACAAACTGGCGGGGCCTTTCTGAAAGAAAGCCTTCTAAACGACCCCTGGTTGAACGTTGCCCTGCATTGAGAAGAAGAAGCGAAGCGGGAGCCTCGGTGCTACCAAGGCCGCAGAATCTTCGGATGTTGCCTCGGGTCCACATCTTCCAGGGGACAGCATTGAGCGACACAGATCTGCTGGGGTGCCCAGATTTTGCATGAAAGGGAGATAACAGGTCTGCAGGAAGCAGAGGCGCCGACACAGAGTTGGTAGGTGTTGCAGCCGTTTCTCGCAGTGACATGGTACAGATCTTTCATTCGGGGGCAGGCAGTAGATTAGAGGCCAAGCGCGCGTACAGTGCCATGCCTTTAAACCGCATAGCTTTCCAGGAACAGCGACACACACGCAGACACAATCTGAGCAGGTCGGAAAGTCTCGTGCCCCAGCCATGACGCTGGCAGGACGACATCGTCTGGTCCTACTGCTTGCTGGTGGAATGGCTTTCCTGTACCAGGGCTCCCACACGTGCCTGCGACAGCACTTCAGGCGGACATCGATGGCCGCCTCCCAGCCGCGAGAGCTTCCAGCCGCCTCGGGTATGTCGGTGCTTGTGGATTTTGCCATGTCCAGGGCAGACACTGGTGCAGATGTGGGATGGAGCGGTGTGTCCAGCCCTTTAGAATTTGTTGCCGGGGCAGGCGACGTGCCTGCACCGTTTGAAGATGCGGTCCTTGGCATGGAGCCCGGGGATACGAAGCGAGTCTTCGGGTACGGGGAGCCTGACGATAGTGGTGAGGAGCTCTGGGAGATTTCCGGGGGCAAAGAGCCGCCCTGCGATGTCCCGATCATGCTGGACATCACGCTACTGAAAGCCTGGGCACGCCAGGATGAAGGCGGGGTGGTTGTTCAAAGCAGCAGGCCGGGGGATGGCAGGACATATCCAAAGGTCGGAGATCAGCTGACTGTGCACTACACGGGCAGGTTGGCCTCCAGCGGAAAGATCTTCGATTCAACCTACAAGCGGCAATATCCTTTCAGTTTCAAGATAGGTATCGGCAAAGTGATTCGTGGCTGGGAAATTGGCTTGATGAAGATGTCTGAGGGCGAGAAGGCAACTTTGATAATTCCGGCCGCCATGGCCTATGGCCAGCGTGGAGTTGCAAAAGTAATACCCCCAAACTCAGATCTGATCTTCGACGTCCACTTGATCAAAGTCCGGCGGTACTAAGTGCCACAAAGAGCAAACTCTGCAGAGCTGGGATGTTCTGCAGCATCCGACCTGCCAAAGCCACCCCTCTGGCCTTGAACTGCTCTGCTACGCGCGCGACGATGATGTCTGATGAGCTGTGTTACAGTGGCTTCAGTAGCGTCGGTACTCCCATGGGGCCCCCGGACGACTGGGACGTCCCCGAGTGAGTCTCTTCGGTCTCGCGCGGCCCATCTCCTCACTCCGCCTGGGAGCGCGAGACAAAGGGGAGATCGGAGCTGTCGAGGGGGAAATCCAGAAGAAAAGTCTCGGGGGGAGTTCTGAGCAGGGTCGTAAGTCAGCTGTTCACCATTCTGCAACAATCTCACTGCGGGGCTGTTTCATGTTGTTCTAGCAGTTTGATGTTAGCTTGTTGATGGGAGCGTCCTCTGTAAGGAACCGTGTGACGATCGCTGCTGCCACTTGCGTGTCCGCTTCCAAGCTTCGATCAGTCGAATGGCTCCTTCGCAGAGCGCTGCCTAAACCCTAAACCCTAAACCCTAAACCCTAAACCCTAAACCCCTAAACCCTAAACCCTAAACCCTAAACCCTAAACCCTAAAGAGACCTCGAGAGTTCTTTTGCTTGAGGTTCATTCTTCCGAACCTCCTGTGCCAGAGCGTGATGCAAGAGGACTCCGGCTCTGCTTTGGCTCTTCCCACTCGGTGGGGCTGTGAGGTCAAAGCACTTGAAATGCATATTGGCTCGTGTTTTCTGCGGCCGGCGCGATTTGGGGGTTTCAGAAAATGGGGGACCCTAATATAGTACCCTAAATAATAGAATCCTTATTATAAGGACCCCAAAATAAGGTACCCCTAATTTTCGGAAGCCCCCATTTGCTGTCCGTCACATGCACTTATCCAGGTGACTGCATCTCTTCGCTCGTCGTGAAGTTGCTTTAGTGTGACCTCCTCTTCACGCTTCAGTATTCCTCTTCCTCTTGTTCACAGCTTCTTAGCGACAAGCAGACTGGGCAGACCCTGAACCCTAACCTCTAGGCTTTAGGAGAGAGAGAGAGAGAGAGAGAGAGAAACTGGAAATACCTATACAAACAGTGTGAGTGCAGTGTCGATCTGAAGAAAGCCGATCCCGTCTAGGAATACCCCGCAACTTCCTGTGCATCTCATGACTTATGTGTGCTTGAAGCCTAGGCTTAGAATCTCCTCCGACTGGGATCGTCGCTCGGGGTGCTTGAGTCGGTGTTTTGACGTGGTTTCGACCCAAAATCCTGGAATCCTAGACCTTCGACCCTGACTGGAGTCAATGAGCTGCGTTCAGGATACGGAGAATATCATCCGGATGATGGCTGTGCAGAGGTTGGTGCCGAAGGCTCCTCCAGTGGATTGGCTCCCAGGGTTTAGGGTTTAGGGTTTAGGGTTTTTGAGATCTTGCGTGGTTTAGGCAAGGAGGCAACGAGCAGCCCTTTATGTGAGAGATAGCATGTGCGTTCTCGGGTCTGCCTGGTGCCAGCGACCGAAGCCGGAGAGCCCTCTGGTACTCCTAAGTCGTAAATATTCGTAAATCCTAGAGCCTATACCACCTCAGAAATCCTGTTCAGCGGAGGCCCGCTTTATCTTGCTTCTCTTGCGTGCAGAAAACCGCAAGCTGCTGACGGAGGTCACAGTTTGGGCTCTTGGTACTTAAAGATGAAGCCGGTGTGAGGAGTTCAGGGTTTGTCATTGGGATGGTTCGAGCGCATCCTTTTTCTGCTTCTCCGCTACAGGGGTATATTCGGGTAGTGTGAGACGCGGCGGATTGAGACATTCACATAGGAATGCATGGATAACATGTGCATACGTACTTACCTACATGCATGCATACGTACATGCATACCTACTTACATACAGACATATGCACATACATGCATGCATACATGTTGACATGTATACATGCATACATGCATGCGAGACATGTACATGTAAGCACATGCACATGCAGACATGCTTACATGTAGACATGCATGCATGCA